AGCAGGATAAATAAAAATAAAGTCACATTTAGATACACTGTAGGAAAGCTTCAGATTCCCCCAAACAGAGAGAAAAAAAGAAAAAAAAATGTCAAAACGAAATAATAACTACATTAATAGTGGACGTCTTGTTGGCAAGAAAACATGTCAGAACACAATGGGTTTGTCTTTATTAGCAGTACGTCTCTTCAATTTGCTGAAGGAAATTAACTGTCGGCTTGAATCCTATACAAATCTAACTTTGATTCCAAAGGAAAGACAAAGTAAACACATTTATAGACAAAAATTGAAAGGGATTACTACTAAGACACCCTTACAAAGAAGCTTTAAAAGGATTTTTTTAGGAAGAAAAAAGAATACAGAAGGAAGATCTAATATGCAAGAAAGAATTTTGAGCCAAGAAAATGGGAAACTTCTGTTTAAAATTAAATTAACATAGACAGTATAAAACAACTGTTTTATACTATATGGCTAACTTCTCGTGTTTAAAAAATGAGATTGAGCTGAAATACTAGAAGGAAGAGCATATAAATAGGAAGCCAGGAAGGAAAGGGAAAGCAACTTCGTGCTCTTTGATCACTGGTCAGAATGGTAAGAATACGGATAAACATTAGGCTTGGTTAGCTTATATGTTAAAATGCTTAGGTTAACTTCTAAATGAATAGAAACAGTGTTTATAACTTCCAAATAAATACAGAGAAAATGGGAATAAAAAAAATCATTTAATGCAAAAGAAGGCAGGAAAGAGAGGGGAGAAAATATAGAAGGAAGAGACAAATATAAAATAATTTTCTCCATAAGATAAAATATTTTTAGTTTAGTGAACATTGTCTTCTAGCACAGAGACACTAAAAAATTTATTCACTGGGAAACTTATTCCTTTCTAGTCTTCAGATCGCTTAAAGTGATTTATACCTATATAGGAGATCGTTTCTTTTTCTTTTTTTCTTTCTTTTTTTGTTTCCCTCTTTTTTTTTTTTTTTTTTTTTGAGACAGAGTCTCGCTCTGTCATCCAGGCTGGAGTGCAGTGGTGCTATCTCTGCTCACTGCAACCTCCGCCTCCCGGGTTCAAGCAATTCCTCCTGCCTCAATCTCCTGGTAGCTTGGATTACAGGTGCACATGCCCATGCTGGGTCTTTTTGTGTTTTTTAGTAGAGATGGGGTTTCACCATTGTTGGCCGTCTGGTCTCAAACTCCTGCCTCAAGTCATCCACTGTGCCTTGGCCTCCCAAAGTGCTGGGATTACAGGTGTGAGCCCCACCCGATGTGGCCTGGCTTTTTTTTTTTTTTTTTAACTGACTTTTCCTCTGTCCCCTCATTTTTTTTCTAGCTCTTTTCCTTCATCCATCTGTTTATCTATCTGTCCACCTACTAATATCTACCTATTTATCTATCTATCTGTCCATTCATCCATCTGTGCAGTCATCCATCCATCCATCCACTTTACTGTCTATACCCCAACCCTCTTTCCTTCTAAACACCTACCCTTATCATTATGCTCCCGCCTATCTATCTGTTCTTTCATTCATTCACTTTATAACCAAAATCTTTTTTTCCAACCCAGACCTCTCTCGAAACCCTGCTACTTGACATCTCCTTAGACATTTCATAGGTGCCTCAAACTTCACATGTCCCAAACACAACCCTTGGTTCCATCCCTACACAAAGTTTCCCTCCCCAAGCCTTCACCATCACAGCAAGTGGCACCATCAACCATTTAACTGCTCAGCTAAAAACCTAGGAGTCACCTTGATGATTGTTTATCTCATGCCTCACATTCCATCATCAGCAAGTGTTGTCAGATTCTACCCTGAGTCTGATGGTGTCTTGCCATCTCTGCTGCTACTATTCTCTGTCCACACAATCAGCTTTTCTTTGAAACCACTGGAATAATCACATAGCCACCATGCACCCTGCTCTTCTGACTATCCTTTTCCACAGCTGCCAAAGTGATCTTTTCAGTAAGAATCAGAACATGTCATCCCCGTCCTAAAAGCTTCTGTGGCTTCCCATTGTGTCTAGAAATAAACAGAAAATCTCCACTATGACCCATGTGGCTGCTAGGATCTGACATCTACTCAGCCTCTGACCTGGTCTTCCTCTGCATGCCATTTAATTCCTTTGACACCAGCTCCACTGGCCGCCTTTCCTGTTCCTCTAACACACCCAGCTCGTGTCTGACTCAGCCCTTTAGATCTGCTGTTCCCTCCTCCAGACCTGCAAGATCAGGTCTCTGCTGAAATGTCACATCCTCCAAGAGACGTTGCCTGAGCATGCTGTTTTATGTTCATCTGAACACTTATTTTTCAGCATTTGAAGTTATCTTTTTTAAAAAACAGTTCATTGTGCCTCTTGAGGGCAGGGACTTTGTTTATTGTTATATTCTCAGGGTCTATACATATGCCTGGATCATAGTAGGGGCTCAGTTATTGTTTGTTGAGTGACTGTTTGGCATTAATTAATTAATTTCACAACTTGGAGTGGAATTCGCCATCTACATTGATATGAAAAATGACTTAAATCCCTATGCTATATCAAATTAAGGCAGATAATCAGCCAATAAAAATGCACTTGCCACAAATTTGACCAATCAAAGGTTAATTACTATGTAAAGAGTTATTACAAACTAATAAAAAGAACACTAACACACCAGTTAAGGGGCATTATAGTCCAGGCAGGACCCCACCTACCAGAGCTAACCAGCATTTGCACCTCCTCAGTCATGGTTTTGAGGTCTCCTGCCTCCTTAGGATTATAGGGGACCCAGCATCACTCTTGGTGTCAGAAAACAGGAGGTGATCCTCCAATATCATGCAGACACACTTACAGTCCTCATGGACCCTTTGAAAACAGCCCCTCGATTTTCTTTTTGCCAAGCTTGGGCATAAGGCTTATTTGTGTTAGGCCATGCTGCCATCTTGGGAGAACCCTTCAGAAGTCTCCATCCCCTCACACAGCACTGCATGAGAGTGGGCATGGGATGCCATCCTTAAGAACCACCCCATCCCACTCCAAGTCATGAGGAAGAGTGCTCCCTTCACTCTTTGCTAGATCAGTTCTGCCTGCCTTCCCACGCAGTGTCGGCCTTCCTCGGTCAACCTTGTTGAGAAAAGACTCCTGAATGCTCTGCACAGAAACTCGGGCTGAAGTTTTGCACTTTGAGAATTTTTGACCACTCTCAGATGCTAGAAAACCTAGGAACCCAGACTCAACACAAATTCTTCATGGAGTGAGAAGGAAAGACTGTGACACTTTTCCTAAGTCTCCTTCCTAAGCAAGAACAAGGCAGATGTTAGTAACACGAATGATTATTATTTTGATATATGTCCTTTGCCAAATAGAATTACTCTGATATATGTAAATAAATATTCTCCTTTTTCTAAGTAGAGAAACCATCAATAATTACCAGGTTTTTTATTTCTCAAATTACAAAATACTTAATAACTATTCTATTTTATATCAGTGCAAAACACAGGTAAGAACTGGACATTTGTGGAGGGGCTATATAGCATTCGTTAGGTTCATTTTTTTTGTTATACTTTGCAAAACTAAGTTAGTGCATGTGAGGATTTATTTATTATTGCAAGCAAATCAACTTAAGTATTACAAACAATCTAATCACTGTCTTATTTTGAAAGCATTAAGATAACTTACATAGCTAAGCATTCTATTGGTCTTTTGTTATTTGTCTTGTATTTTCAAATGATTATATTTCCCTGCAAACAGTGGAAATATCAATGAGAAATAAGATGTCCTTTCATCAATGATGTAGATTATTTCGTTTCCAAATATTCACATATTATGCTTACATATGTTTCGTTATTAATATTCTGAAGTCAGTCTGTTCTCCAATAGTTTTTTTTTATTAGAAAGGAAAATATTTCACATCAAACATTTTAATAATATTGTGAATCAAATTTAAAATATTTTAAAAATGTGATAAAGTACCAATAGTGACATCTAGGCCGGGCGTGGTGGCTCACGCCTGTAATCCCAACACTTTGGGAGGCTGAGGCGGGTAGATCACGAGGTCAGGAAAGATCAAGACCATCCTAACTAACACGGTAAAACCCTATCTCTACTAAAAATGCAAAAAAATTAGCCAGGCGTTGTAGCACATGGCTGTAATCCCAGCTACTCAGGAGGTTGAGGCAGGAGAATTGCTTGAACCCAGGAGGCAGAGGGTGCAGTGAGCCAAGATCATGCCACTGCATTCCAGCCTGGGCGACAGAGCAAGACTCCATCTCAAAAAAAAAAAAAAAAGGTCATCTAAATTGATATAAAAATGACTTAAATCTGTATAAATCAAAGTAAGGCAAATAATGAGCCAATAAAAATACCTTTGCCACAAATTTGACCAATTAAAGATTATTATGATTACTATATAAAGAGTTATTACAAAATAATAAGAAGAGCACTAACACACTAATTAAGGGGCACTAGAGTCCAAAGATTAAGAGCTCAGGCTCTGGAGTTAGAGCTGGGTTCAAATCCAGGCCCCGTCACATTCTGTGGGATGTTGGACAAGACTCGTATCATCCATCTACCTCTTAAGAGTTCTAATTTCTAATACAGAGATAATAAGCATGACTGCTTGCAATGTAATTGAAAAGAGTAAGTAAGATCATACATGAACAACTCTTGGTGCCAATTACTGTTACTCAGTACTTACTATTATTTTGCCAAAAGATATGAATAGGCAGTTTGCAAAAGAAGAAATACAAATGACTAGTAGACATAAGCAAAAAGTTAATCTCCCTAGTAATCAGTTAGATACAAATGAATACAGCAATGGAAGGCCATTTTTTCCTAGGGAATTTGTGTTTTAAAATATATTCTAGTTCTCGATCATGATATATGTGGTGAGTTCTGGAATGAATATAAATTCAGACACTTTTTTCCAGAAGGCAGCTAGGCAATTTTTATCTAGTGCTTTAAACATTTTCATAGCCTTTGACCAAGGCTTCAGCTATTATTCTACTCCAGCAGGCATTACTCACATTGTAGTTTGAACTGGGGCTCCTGGCAGCAACATTTATGTAGAATACACTGTGTTTGGTGGCTCCTAGCGTTGTGCAGCTGGTGCCCCTGTCACTGATGTGTTTAATTTACAGCAATCAAGCCTAAGAAAATAAACAGAAAGGCACATATAGATTTATGTGTAAGGATGTTGGTCCAAGAGTAATTAAAAAAAAAGCCAAAAACTGTGAAACAACCTAAATTTGAATCAATGGAGGAATAACAACATGAATTATTGTAGATTAATGGAAAGGAATTTTATATTGCCATTAAAAGTCACATTAGAAATCTATAATGACATGGAAAATAATTGTACAAGTTCATTCCAAAAGGAAAGTAGCTTTATTATTGCCTCCAACTAGAAAAGTAAAATGTACTCGTTTAAAAAATTACACAATCTAGAAAAACTAAATAAAGTAGACACTAATAATCTTAACATTCCAAAATAGACATTTTTTATATAGGTCCTAACAAACATTTTCCACATGAATGTCCATATTGATATGTAATGTAAACTGCAAAAATCAGGCTGCTAAACTGCTAATTCCCAAGGCGGGGAAAAGTACCAAAGTATTTTTTCATGGTGGAGGGAATATGGATGATTTCTTTTTTGTCTTACTTATCTCTTTTTTTTGCCTCTAACATGTCTACAGTAAGCATGAATTACTTTATAAGCAAAACATCTTAAATAGCATAAATGCTGTAAATGACTTTTTCTTACTTAAATTATGACTATGTCTTTCAGTGCTCTGAAAGACGGAATATTTTTTGAAAAGACAATATTCCTTTTGCAAAATGAGAACTCACACTCATTAATCATTGTGCCGTCTTCCTCTTAAGGAAAACCTGCAAATGCATATGCAAATGAGCTGAACTTCTATTATAAGATAGTGACAGGATGCTCTACAGAAGAGAAGGTAATGATAGAGTTTGAAAAATAGGAATGCAGAAGAAGGTTAGCAGTGGTGGAATCTTTCTATCCAATGCCTTAAAAGAGTTGTATTAATCTGATAGTGTTCCACCTACCAATAATGAAATAAGATCATAAGCAGCATTAAAACACAAAAGCTCCTCATTGTGACATGACACACAGAGTGTAGCAGAATAGGGATATGGGGACCCAGATCAAAATGAAAAGGTAGAAAGTTGTAATATTCTTCAGACGTTTTCATAAGTCCTGTCAGATAATCCTATTTAACTACTTGACGAGTTTAGTCTGTATTACCCACGTTAAACCTCCTAGGGTATTTTTATCCAATATCACACATTTGGATCACAACTTTAAAATATCAGCTCAACGTTCAAATACTTTGTCTACACAATTACATACACTCATGCCTAAAAATACAAGTTGAGTAAACCCAATGTCCCTCAAGATCGTTAGCATTTAGCAAAGATTTAATGTCAAAAGAGGGTCTGAAGCATTAAGGTTCTTGAATATAACTGTCCCAAGGAGAATTGGAGGTAGGCTTATAGGAAATTAAATTCCTTGAACAGGATAGAAGAGAATAGAGACAGCATCCTATTGTGTTAATCCCATTTCTGCCCTTTCGTGTGGAAAATCAGGACAGCCTGCTGCCTTTAAATGGCTTGAGAATCCAGAACAAAGATAAACACTCAGCTGGATTCTACATTTCTGAAATTCTATTACAGGAAAGATTCTTGGGTTAGAGAAGGGATATATGAAAACAGCAAAGCATCATCACTGCCCTCCAGAATCTTCCCATTGTATGAGAGAGACAGGTAGGAAGGCAACTGGAAAATATGGCAGACTTTTTTTTTTTTTTTTTTTTTTGAGATGGAGTTTTGCTTTTGTTGCCCAGGCTGGAGTGCAATGGGGCAAACTTGGCTCATCGTAACTTCTGCCTCCCGGGATGAAGCAATTCTCCTGCCTCAGCCTCCTGAGGTAACAGGCATGTGCCACCACACCCAGTTAATTTTGTATGTTTAGTAGAGACAGGGTTTCTCCATGTTGGTCAGGCTGGTCTTGAACTCCCGATCTCAGGTGATCTGCCTGCCTTGGCCTCCCAAAGTGCTGGGATTACAGGTGTGAATCACCGTGCTTGGCCTTTTTTTTTTTTTTTTTTTGAGACAGGGTCTTGCTCTGTCACCCAGGCTGGAGTGAAGTGGCATGATCTCGGCTCACTGCAACTTTCGTCTCTCAGGTTCAACAATTCTCATGCCTCAGCCTCCCAAGTAGCTGGGTTTACAAGTGTGCACCACCACACCTGGCTAACTTTTGTATTTTTAGTAGAGACAGGGTTTCACCATGTTGGGCATGCTGGTCTCAAATTTCTGGCCTCAAGTGCTCTGCTGGTCTCGGCCTCCCAAAGTACTAGGATTACAGGCATGAGCCACCACATCTGGCCCAGAATGTTTTAAGTGCTGAATTGGTGGCATTCTCTAGAGAAAGAGAACCAATAAGAGAGAGATATATAGAAGATATATGTATAGGGTATATGATATATGCAGATTAGATATAGATTAATAGGAGATACATATGTAATCAGCTCTCCATATTTATAGGTTCCACACTCGTGCATTCAACCAACCAAAAATATTAGAAAAAATGATAAAAATTACAATACAACAATTAAAAATAATAGAAATAAAAAGCAATGGAGCATAACAATGAGTTTCATAGCATTTACACAGTATAGGTATTGTAAGTAATCTAGAGATGATTCAGAGTATACAGGAGGCTATGCATAGGTTATCTGCAAATACTACACTATTTTATATAAGACACTTGGGCATGTGCAGATTTTGATATCTGAGGAGGGGTTCTGGATCCAGTCTCCCATGGATACCAAAGGACTACTAACTGTACAGGAGATACAGATAGATGATAGACAGATAGATGGATAGAAGAGATATTCATAGAAGAAATAGATATAGGAGATACATATATATACACAATCTACATATAAGATATATAGTGGATATATATGATATATATATTTAGGAATATTATATATGGTATATCATATCTCATACATCTATATATCTCATAGATATATATATTTATATGAGAAAATATATGGCTATATGAGATATACAGATAGGAGAGATTTAGTGTATGCAATTGGCTGATTATGGAGTGAGTCCCAGATATGCAGGATGACTTGGCATGTAAGAGACCCAGGAGAGCTGATGGTATAGTTCCTGTCAAGATAGCAGGCTGGAACCCCAGGAAGAGCCAATGTTTCAGTTTGAATCTGAAGGCAGGAAAACAGCTGACGATTCATTCCAAAGGCCATGAGGAAAGTTTTCTCTTACTGCCACGGGAGCGTCAGCCTTTTTGTTTTCTCCAGGCCTTCAACTGATGTGATGGGGCCCATCTACATACTGGGAGACAATCTGCGTTACTCAGTGTGCTGATTTAAATGTTAACTTCATCCAAAAACTCACAGAAACACCCAGAAATAATGTTTGACCACATACCTGGGCACCCCACAGCCCAATCAAGTTGATGCATAAAATTAAGCATCACACCTGAGTTAACCACTGTAAACATTGTGGTTTACTTAATTTTTCACCTTTTCAATGTCAGCCCTGAGGAATGGGAGTTTATGTGGATAAGGACGAAAATCTTCGGGTATAAAGAGTCAGCTAAAATACTTTTGCCTCTCTGTTTCTGCCACCGTTGAGAATGGATGGCAAGTGCATTCGTTTGTGATACCACCTCTTTCTGTCCAAGCTGAGGGTTTTATTTTCTTATATTCAGAACACATAAGAAGTTGTGAGATATTTTTTCTCCAAACCAATTTTTCTAGCTGTGGTGTGAAGTATTTCTTAGGCATAAACATCACCTTTCAACCCCATCTGAGCTGAAAATCCCATTTCTAATCTTCTTTATGATTGAGAAATGATAGAGTGGATTTGCTGGAAAACATCTGCCTCACTGACAGCTGGCTGTTCTTGTGGGAGTGATCCTAAAGTAAGTGCCTATTGTTTACGCTTATTCATTGAGAAGTATATTTTAAAGATCATAATATGGACCAAAATTTGAAGAAGAATTGCCCCACATTGACTGAGAAAATTTCATGCTAATGTTAGATTTTATTCTATTTTCTCATATCATGATGTCTGTGGTTACATGATCTTGATAAGAATCTGATTCCCTCTCTTTCCTTCATGACCAGAGACAATCCTGGCAAAATCATGGAGCAACATTAGCGTTTACCATTTCCAGCCGAACTCTTCAACAATATAATCTGTTCTCTGAATCCCATCTTTCTTATCAAACCTTAGCAGCATATCAAAATCACCTGGGAATTATAAAAAACAAAGGCTGATGTCTGTTTTCTACCTTCTGCCACCCTCAGATTCTGATTTGTTTATTCTGGAGTGTGATCTGGGCACTGGGATTTCTAAAAGCCTTCTGAGTGATTCTCATGTATACCCCAAGTTGCAAACCATCGCCCTAGGACCTTTATTACTCAAAATTATTCACATCACCTCCAAGCTTGTTAGAAATTCAGGGGCCTGCCCTAGAACTGCTGGATGTGAATCTGTGTTTTAGCAAGACCAATATGTAGTTATATTAAAGGTTGTGCAGCCCTGTCCTATGTGTTGGTCCCCCTTGGAATTAAATTCAGCTTTTGGGGATAGGGAAACTCACCCATGTGAAAGTCGTTATTTTATTTAATTCCTTCAGTTCCCCAGAGGTGATTAAATTATAGCAGATGCTCACTGTATTGTTTCAGTAAGTTTAAGAAGTAAAGTTCTCACTATGGAACTCTGAGCAACCGGAAGTTGAACAGGATGGGGTTTTTGATTAGGGAATAATTTTGATCCCTTCCCTGCATTCGGGCAAATGACTTCTTCGTCTCCCTATACTATGCCTGTCCCTGCCAGGGCCCTTGGGGTCAGGAGTACAAGTCCTATGAGCTCCCTGGAACCTGGCCTACCCCAAAGTTTATGTTTTAGGCAAAGAAAAATGACAGTATCATCCTAGGTTCAAATTGAAAAACGTAAGTAGGCCATGCCCGGCCGCTCATGCCTGTACCAGCACTTTGGGAGGCCAAGGTGGGTAGATTACTTGGGCCCAGGAGTCTGAGACAAGCCTGGACAACATTGCAAAACCCTGTCTCCACTAAAA